GTAGCTTCTTGTTCCTAGTGCCCCTAGTAGCGTCCTTGCTCCTAGTAACGATGCCCTTTTGTTCCTAGTAGCTTCTTGTTCCTAGTAGTACGGCCAGGAGCCCCTAGTAGCGTCCTTGCTCCTAGTAGCTCTCCCGGTTTTGAAAGAGTTTCTGGTTTGTATACCGAGGACACCATTGCTCTGCTTCTGATCTTGAAGTCGTGGAGGACGCATGGGCCCATCACTCACAAGCTGTTCTGCTACAGTAGCAAGAGCAGCAAGACCAATACTTTTTTATTGATTGCGATATGGACTCTGCCATGACACTCAACAGAATGCAAAGCCTTCCAAAGATCATGGCCAGATATGGTAGCATTTGCAGCAAGGTGTCACCAAAAGATTTTAACATAACATTGACATATGTAACATATGTATGTGCACTGCGGCGGAAAGGATCCCCCTTCCATGGAAGTCGAGCTCATCAGTGCGCTCAGCGAGTGTTTCTGCCCCAAGCGGATCCAAAAGTTGCCAATCGCTCTGGAGACAGCTGCCTCATCGCTCAGGCTTGACGTGGAATGAGATGCTGGATGCCTCGCTTTTGCTCGCTTTCCTGGCCTGATTGAATTCTTAAACTCAAAGTGAAAGTTTTTGTGGATTGAAGAAGAGGTAGAATCAGGTAGACGACTCGACCATTCTTGTGCTTTTCTTTACCACAGATCGGCCCTTGAGAGAACAAATTGAGCATAATATCCCAGAAGCTGAGTGTTCGGGAAGTTCAGTGTTAAGGTAGGACTGTTGGATATTTTTGTTTAGAATTCTATTTTTCTAAGATTCCTGAGATTTCTGACAGGAACCTGTTGGATTGACTCGTGAAATGATGTGAGATGATTTTACAGGAGCCTTGTAGACAGCCATTTACAGGAGCCTTTTAGCTTTAGGTTTAAACAGCCTTTGGTTTACAAGGCTGTCATGCAGCAAAGTCTGAAGGAGTTGTGTGTGCGCATTCGGTTTCAATGACGCAAGCAGCTGGCGTTTGGAAAGCCTCCTTTGGGCCTGATACTCCGACTGACGTTCCTGTTGTTTTCTTCTTCATTTGTTGTTTAAGACCATTGTGCTCTTCTTTATTGCATGTCTTTTTGGACCTTTAGACCTTTGTTTTCTTTTTAAAGACCTCTAAACCTTCAGACAGTGCTTCACAAGGTTAAACACATAAGACGTGGGCTGCAAGTTTGCCCATTTGCCCTTGGGTCAAGTGTCCTGGGACCCTTTGAAGCCAGCAGTGACCTCGCTTGCCTTTCTGCCCCGACCTCAAGTATGTTCAAACTTCATTTTTGTTTACACTGGATGCGACAAACGATCCCAAGCGCACCAACGACCCAACGACTGGATGAAACCTGGAGTTGCTTCACAGAGCACCAAGGCTTGGCGCAATGGGTGGACACGTCCGGTTCTTCCACCCCAACTGGCCACTGAGCTTAACAGGTCCAACTGTGCGAGACACCAACTGCTTTGGAGAGAAACAGATGAACACCTAGGAGTTTTAAATAGTGCAGTATCCGTTGTTTTTTCGTTTTTACAACGCCACATGCGTTAAACGTCGTTTGTGGGCTGAGTTTCATCTCATTGGTGCGTCATAGAGAGACAGTCAATGAGGTTCACCCGCTACTACTGGGGAATCATTGCTTCGGTCAACCTCTCTGGCTTTCTGGCCGATCAGCAGCCAGTGGCCGAGGATTTCTTACTCTTCAAACCTACATAGAAGGGAGGTTTGTATCCTTGTCTAGTCGCCAGTTCTTTTGAAGCGTTTGCGTATCATATGGGCTTCAAGCACCTAGGTATGGAGTCGACCGTTCCAAGAGTCTTGGCCGGCATGCGCAGAACATCATATTGGGTACTTGCATGAGAGCACAGCCATTGCACCAAACCATTTGGAGCTGTGTGGGCAAAAAGGGCAGGACAGCACTGAGAAACTAGAGCCAAGGAATCCGAACATCATGTGGCCTTGGTGGCACGAGATCATGCGCAAGAAGGAGAAGGGCGAGATTCCTATGGAGATGCCAGGCTACATGCTGGTTTCTTGGTTGCAGACAACCCTCAGTGAAAGCGTCGGCTTTTCCAGTCCCGGCAACCGCATTTTGTTCAGGCCAAATTCCGCAATGAGTGTGAGGAAAAGTGGACGCATAGACCTCAGATTGTGCAATCAGGGGTAAGCTGTTTCACATCCTTCACTGAGAAGGGTGCCTACTACGAAAGCAAGCGCTGCGGTGCTTGGATTTGATCAAACTAAGGGAGCAGAGGAGCGCGGAGTTTGAGGACTTCCTCAACGTCATGGACGGAGAGGAATGAGCAGCCCAAGCTGACCATGCGCGTGTAGCATGCACGCCGTGCAGCATGCACTGTTCCATTTTGGACTGAAGGCTTGGCGCGTGTAGCATCCTTGGGCGTTAGCAGCAGCCCGATGAGCTGTACCAGATGAAGCTGCTTGAAGCATCTTGAAGCCATGTGATACGGAGTTTAGTGGAATGCAATGGATTGCAATGCTACAACGTCAGAGTCATTTGACCGATCCTCGGGCTGTTGATGTTTTTGATAAAATCGGAACCGCTTCCAGTTAAGAGCGAAATGGGCTTCAAAAAGTTGTGAGTGCCAATGAGTGTCGTGAATTGACCTGACAGTGGTTGTGACAGAATTCGTCGCACGTTTTTCTTCATGATTTAGTTTGTTTTATTTTTTTAAACACTGCGTTCAGGAGAAGATGTCCATACCTTCCTAGACCGGTTTGGTCTGTCACCTGAGACGAGACACCTCTTTTAGAAAACGCCGACACATCGCTGCTGTTTGTGCTGCTCGGCACGTTTTGGCTCTGGGGCTTTTGACTTCAGCAGAGTCTGGTTCCAAGTACCTTAAGTCAGTTCTAAGTACCTTAAGCCAGATCAGCAAGCTTGGTCCTGGACTGGACGGACATTTGTCGAGACATGCGCTCAGGTGCATAGCTTACGGCTCGACTTGCTGCTTCGAGTCCTCCAAAGAGAGGCCTGCACAAGATCTTGAAGTGCTCCACATGTTTTGTTTCCTGATTCCTGGAGTGATTTTGTTGGTTTGGTGCCCACAGAAAGCTGCCTTTGGGCCACTAGCATGTTGAGGCGCAGCAAGGCTGATGTCGCGGAGGAGTTTGGACCCCACTAGATGCAATAGGAATCCGTGATCTGAGAACAAATCGTCACGATATGAGGCTCAGGTGTCCGATTGACATCTCTAGTGAGCGCCCGAGCTTGATGTGTTGAATCAGGTTGAATGTCGATGTTCGGTTGGAACATTTGGGTCTCACCAACGCTGAGGTCTTGGTGAGTACTCTTTGGAGACTTGATGCGCAGCTGTCTTTTCCAGGGTGCGGAGCTTTTCCAGTCATCTGTCATCTCACTAGTTAAGACTGCTCTGCATCGATCGTACGAACAAAAAGCCTGTCTCGCCCTGGCAAGATGGCAACTTGCTTACAGTGGTTAGTTGCGAGTGACCTTGCTACCACACACTTCCAAAATGACCGATGAATAGCAGCTTCCTCTAGCTTACCAACTAGCCACTCAAGCGATTAGCCACTGCCTACCCGCCAAAAAGAAGGTATATACTGTAAAAGGACAGTTAAAGGCCAAGGAAGAACAACAAAGATCTTTTCTTTCCAAGGTTTCGGAATGCAGATGCCGACTTCATTTCCAATGGAGGCTTCAAGCCGCACGGATCTTATGTATCAACACTGCAGATTTCAGCTACATCGTATCCAAATTCAGCGTTGGGGGATTGCCCAAACACTTCTGCCTTGAGGAACACTGCGACGACTTCTAGGACTGGCTTGTCGTGCGAACGTTGTTTCATGAGCTGCTGGAAGATGTATTGCTTTACTTTGGAAGCATCAGAGTTAAAAAAATAAACCAAACAAGGCGGGCACAGCATGAGATAGACGTGAATGACATGGATCACGCATCCCTGCGCATGCATATGCTGATGCAGAAATCCTACAATCGCATAGGCAATCGCTGTGTGTGTGGGACGCAAAAAGAAACCACCGTCTCTGAACACGTTGCGGGTGGTGTATGGGTTCGCCAGCTGCGGTCTCGGCACAGTCTTGTTTCTTTATCCCCCACCTGTGGGACTGTAAGGACTGTGGGGTTAGACTTTGGACACTTGAGGCCTTCATCTTGGCTAACTGGTTGGCTAACTGGTTAAACTTCCCTCAACCAACGGTGGAGAGCTTGGGCGCTGGTGGCATGACTATGACCGGTGGGTCACACCATAAATATTGGTTTGTGAATTCGGCAAAGTTGGCCAATTGAACACCCGGCCAGGTCCCTACTTAACTAGCACACACCCTAGCTAGCCCACCACTTAGCCAGCTCAACGCTTAGCTGTTTTTTCCGGTGAGCACATTACTTTGCCAGCTCAATCTGAGCTAGCTTAAGAGAAACGTGGTTCACGAGCAACTCACACTCGGCCCATCATTGTGAGAATCCACTAATTGATATTCGCTCTGTCCAAGGGGTTGTGGCAATATGACCACCAGGTATATATCAACCCTTTGTTGCCTGTTGCAGGTCATACACACATAATATATATATAATATCATATATATATATATAATATAATATATATAAATATATATATATAAATATTTTTTGCAGTGTTTGGCAGGGGCTTGCCTGATTGGCTGTGAGGGCCCTGGATTCGTTCAAGTGCCTTGTCAGAATAACTTGTACCAAATCGGAGCTCACCTGTGATGCAAGGCAAGCCGCTCTAATACCACCACATCCTGCAACAACACAGGCGCCAAAGGCAACAGAACCAGCAAAGACTGTGCCGAAGCAGCCAGTCTTTACAATCCAACCGGCCACTACGCCGGCACCTGCTGCACCAGCACCTGCTGGCGCACCAGCACCTGCCGTGCCGACACCTGCCGCACCGGCACCTGCCGCCCCGACACCTGCCGCACCGGCACCTGCCGC